CATTTGTATAATTATACCCTACATACGCTATACTTCGCACAGAAGAATCACATTATCTTTTTTCCCCCAAAATTGACAAAAACGGTGATTGAACAGAATAGGGCTAGAGGCAATATTGTGTTGTCCTGCAAATTTCTTCCATAAAAAAATACAAAAAGATTAACAAATGAAATAAAATTATGTGTTATCATGTAGATCTATTTCATAATACTAAAATAAACTTACTCAATTCTAAAATATAAAATTCGCTTTCAAAACTGGATGAAATATTATTACTAATAGTTGCTAATAATATATAATGTTGAAAATCTTTCATGTATAAATAATTAATATTCATTGTTTGACCCAGTGACCATTTTATTCATAAAAATCCAACTAATGTATACCGTATACCTTTCTATTAAAATAAAAACCCATTTCATGTGTAAAAACTAAATAATGTGTTATGTGTATGTGAACCAATTTTACGCGAAAAAATTATAACTGAACGGATAAGGACCATTTCACCTCAAATAATTTCATTTGGCTTTCAATACGATATTTTTTGGTGAAATTCATTTTAAACGAAGCTGATCTAAACTAGTAAACATTGTTATGTTTCTAATAGGGGCCTATGACTTTTTGGTAAAAAAAATACAAAAAATATTTAGAGTCATGTTTAAAAAAACGGACCATATACTCCTAAACACAATGTAATGTGGACCAATCTTATGCATAAATTGTAATTGCAATGAACCTATCAAAAATTGGATGCATTTTATGCAACCTAAATACTCTAGTGTGGTTTCATATTACTAGTTTATTCACAATAATGCAAACACAACATTTAAAAAAAGACTAGTTGATTTATGTAATGCGTAAAACACGAGTGAACACATCTTTAAAGATGTTGACCAATTTTACGCATGAGAATTCTATTTAAAATTATTAATCAATTGCATACATAATTTTGCTAAATATATAACAAAATTTTATTATTTTTTTTCCGTCTCTCGTTGAAGATTTTTCAAAAATTAGGTGTGCATATTATTCCATTGCATACATAGATTGTTTTATTACATGTTATTTTTTATTGGTAATAAAAAAATGTAATATTTTCACAGTGGTTTTCCTTAAAATCGCTACACACTGTACAAAACCTTATATTATTAAAAAACCATAATGCCTGTGAATAATTGTGCAATATTAAACAGTATAATAATACAGTACACAACTTTGAAGAGCTGCAGATAATTTTTGTATTTTAAGTATCAGTTTATAGTTTTTAATTGTTAATTAATTTTTGTAATCTACTTTTATGTAATCCAATAATATAAAAAAAATTCTCATTAATATAAATTTGTATAGGCCTATATAGTTTCTTATTCTTGTTATTTATTTGTTTTCTTAGGTGTAAATATGAATTGAAGTTTTAAATTGAAGTGCAATGTATTTTATAGCTTAAAAAATAGATTTGTTTTTTATATACTGTATCTATTGAAATACAGCCATTTTTAGCTGCATGCTACCGTTTTGTACATTTTTTGAATGAATGAATAAATGAATGAATGAGTGAATGAATGAATTAATGAATGAAAACGGCAAGGCGGCTTTGTGTCAAATGCTTAAACTGAAGAGACCACCATCCCCAGGGTCTCACTACTAAGTGAGTTCAGGATTTTGAACATTTGGTAACGGGCTGTTTATAAATCGTGTTTTAGTGCTTTTATATTCTTTGCATGACTATTTCGAACGAAAAATCAGCATCACCGGAAGCTGTCAGCTATAGAGTGTAGCGACTGTATGGAAACCAAGTTTGACTCTCTTGTCCGCGAGTCAGTCCTTGTCGGGGACATCGAATCCCCGTCAGGCAAATCCTGGCATCATTTTACCAGAAAGAAATATGAATGTATTTTCTTTCCAGGATTAAATAAATAAATAAAATCAATTAAAAGATCGAAGCAAACTTACATTGCTGTAATCAGAGTTTGTAAGCCCTGGTTCTTAAAAGGTGGCCCGCATGCCAAATTTGGCCTGCGAAGAAAATTATTCTGGCCCGCTAGAAAAAATATAAATTATACAAAAAAATATTTAAAGAAACTGAAAGTAATAAGCATTCAATGAATATATTTTTTTAATAAAGTTAAGGCCAAA